CGTGAGTTCAACTTTAATTTAAAATGAATACTACAATGTCAAGTTCTATTATTTAATTAAAAGATCCTATTGTAGCGGGCGGCTTTTTTGTTTCACAAAATCAACTTAGTTATCCAGGTTGTGTTTGAAATTGTCTTAGTTTCTTAGGTTCTTTTTTTTAAATTAGTTGTAATTAATATGAACTAAATTAGTGTTGAGTAAATTTTAATTTTAAAAATGAAAAATTAGGTTACAATGTCTTGTAAATTAATATTAATTATTGTAATTTAATTATAACAACCAAATCAATTACGCCATAATTTTGAGTTAATATTTAATTTCAATAATTAAATAGAAATAAAATAATAATTTTTTTAAAGTTAGGTAGTAAATACGACGGAAACTTACTACTAAGCGGATTTCGTAAAATCAACTTAATAGAAAAAGTGAATTCTATCTAAATTAATATACATTCAGTTTTACCAAAAATAATAATAATAATAATAATAATAATAATAAAAACAGTTAAAAATGAGTCAGTAAATACTTTTAACGTTTTTAAAATCATTACCAAACGGAGTCCAAGTCCAAAAATCAAAATATGAAATTTTATATATGTTGTGATACCACTTAAATCTTCAATAACAATTAATTTTGTTAAAGTGAGCATAGTTCAACGATAATTGACAAATGGGAGATTGTGAATTCGATCACCGTCACCCACATGTTGTATTAAAAAATAATAATAATTAGTTTTAATTATCAAATTTAAAAATTAAAGAAAAATCTTAAATGTAACATTAATCGAGTGGCATAAATAATTGGATGGATTAATACGTAGAAAAAACTATTATCATTTGTATTCAAAGAAACAATTGTAATTAAAAGAAGGAACTTTTTTATTTGAATAATATATTGCGTGAATGATTCCAGAAAAGATTAAAAGAAGATAAAGAATATTATTTCTCCACAAAGATCATTATGTGTTTGGTACAAAAATTAACAAAAATGTTACATACAATATAGTAATTATAGTCTCACTTTCAATATAACTACCATATAAAAATTTTAAATATATGTCATGATCAAAGTTTAAGTAATTAACACATGTCATATCAGATAGGCAAATAAGGCTAGAAAAAAACCTTATAACACAGAAAATTTGACTGAATTTTAATTGACTTCAATTTAAAATTGACACTAAAATGTAAGGGTTCTTTTATAATAAAATTAAAAGAACAATCAACATTAGGTAGGTGGTCCAGACTTCAAATATAAATAGAAATCATGATCAATATCCAAATCTAAGTTTTGACCAAAAATAAATAAATAAATAAATGTTGTTTTTTTTTTTAAATCAACAAGGTTCTTTCCTTTGCATTAACTATTAACTTAACTCTCAAGTAAACCAAAAAAAAAAAAGATTTTTGTAAAAAGAAATAATAATAAATAGAGAAAATGTTTGGTTGGAGAAAGAAGGTTCGTGGAAAGGACAGTGGTGTCAGCGTCTTGAATGGAAGAAGAATTCAAATTCTTGCTGAATGCAGAAAAAAATGTGGCATTTTCTCCACCATATATGAATTTTCTTAAAAAAAATTGATATTTTAAAGGTAGTTTTTAATATTATTTTTAGAACTTGATTTTTTTTTAGAATATGAAAATATATAATTTGAACCTATAACTTGCGTTTAAGTTAATAAGCTTGTTATAATACAATACGTGAGGTGAGAGATTTGAATTTACGACAGTTTGATTAGGCATAAATGTCTTAATTTAGGTTGGTGTTATAAATTATTTGTTAAAAAAAAGTATGCAATATAAATATATTTTTATTTACTTGTTATATCAAAATATAGTATGATCTGTAAAGTCATTTTCAACACCACTTGCAACATTTATTACTTGTACTATATCATCATACCTGTCATCAGTGATGTAGTATTTAATTTGAACCTGCAGTTTCCAACTTGGAATAATATTTCATGAAAAGTCCAGAAATCATAAGCTTAAATCTTATTTCTTTCCCTAAGTCTTTGTTATAATTTGAGCATAGTTTTCTTTAGTACGAATTTGAGTATAATTGAAAAGATAAGACGGGCACCAATAATTTTTTTTTGTCTCAAATATTTAATTATTCACCCACATTTATTAAACTAAAAAATAGTTCCTAAATATTATGTTTGTTATAATTTTTTCAATAAAAACTTTTAATATTTTGTTTTAGTTAATTTTATATTAAAGTTTTCATTTTAGTTATTGTTAAATAAATTGTTTAACAAAAATTTAGTATATTAGACACATATTTTGTTTATCGATAGATAGATGAAGAAATATTTTAACTCGTATATAATATGATGTCAAGTCTTCAATATTAAAACTTTTGATGCGTGATTTTGATTTTAGGTCTGCAAAGATCCTATATGCTTTCTAACATGTGGTTTTTCTAGCAACCTGCAAATAAAATCTTGTACTCATATGGTACTTGACGATGTACACTCAAAAAAACTTAAGTTAATATTTAGTTTGGGTCAGTATCTAGTCGACTTTATACGAAATGCAAGAGATTGTATACTTTTGAGAATGCGTTTTTTATAGAAGGGTAACATTGGAAATCAAAGCTTTTCCAATACCGCTATCGTACTTGTCACTCAACAAAATTTTCTCTAAGTATTTGGAAAATCCAACTCTAACAACGTAATTATCCTTTCAGAAGACAAGCGCTTGTCTCCTATCCGAAGAAGATTTTGACCAACAAAAAATCTACTATCATTTCTGGTAATGTTTTTTTTTTTCTTCTTCTTCCTGAGAGGAGGGAACATTAAAAGGAGAAAAATAAATAAAATTCAAAGAAATATTGGATTGGATAGCGGGGAGAGGAACGAAACGGAATCATCTGTTTTTTCTCCCTTCTACGACGATATAAACAGAGTCGTCGTTACAGCAACGAGATTGCCGATCCGACACGTCGGTATGGAGCCCACTCCTCGTGAAGCTGTCTTCCACGTGGCTCAAATCCATGCCTTTAATATATTCCTCTCTTTCCTTTCCGAGTAATGACATGGAATCAACAGTTCAGATTGAACGATTACGACGCTTTGATTTGGTCCAAAAGAATCGTGACCCTCCAGATTTGCATGTAAAGTAAAAAATTGCGTCTTAGATTGGGTCAACCTCCCTTGATATACAAGGTATTATCCGCAAATAGGATCTTTGAAAAAATGCAAAATATTTTGGTCAAAGAAAAAAATTAAAAAAAAAAAAACCTCAATTTGAGTACGGACCTTAAATTTCTTTGAATTCTTCGATATAAATATTAGATTTTTTATTTTCAAAGAAAAAATAAATTTAAAATTTTAAAACGTACCTGTAATATTGAGATCACTATATTTCCACTTAAGTGGAAATTTTATTCCTAGAAAATGGGAGTTCACCTAAAATATACATATGATTATTATTAGGGTGATCATTTTCTTAGATTTGAAAAGTCCGCGAATTTAAATTTCCATTTTGTTAATCTCACAGGTTGAAATAACAATTTCTTTTACAAATCTTAAATTTATATATCAAATAATAATTACTCACACTCAAAGTTCCAACAGGCTTGCAAACTCTTGAGCTAAAAAAAATCCAAATCTTCCATTTCCCATGAAAAATACTAATTATTGATTTGATTACTATGTGTTTCTTCATGTAATTTCTGCGAAAATAAACCTATTTTGGTATTGAAAAAATGCTTCTCCACACTGATTACATCTCATACTAATTTGGTCATATCGATTAAATTTGGTTAAAATTAACCTTTCTCTCATAGATGGAAGATTTAACTTCTTCGCTTTATCATAGAAGTAAACACGTTTAATTACCACTAACCATACATTTTCTTTTTCAAAAAAGTACTACAAATCTAAAAATAAATAAATAATAAGAATCCTTTTTTTTTCGGAACACCAGAACTTCTAATTAAATCAAGTTTAAGGTGGATACCTTGAATATATTAATATTCATGGATTACATCTCAAAACAATTGACTATGAGAGGAGTAGTAGTCTATATCTATTATAAACCTATGCAAGGTCCCTTCTTTTATCAATGTGTGATTTTTAACCGAATAAACTCTTCTTCAATCATTTTCCATAAATTTAAAATTTAAGTTTAAATACTATATATTGGTACATGTACATTTAAAAAGTTATTATTTTAACTTATTCATTTTCATTTTTATTTCATTTCTTTCCGTTGAAAATTTCAACATAGCACCTCACTCACAAAATTTATTGAAATATAATAAAAAACTTGTATTAAAACATCTCTATCGTGTATGTTATTTTGAACTTTTGAAAATAGAGAGACAAACATAAACTAACTTTAAAAAGTTAAATAGGAAAAAATAAACCCAAACTTCCCTAAAGTAGTATTTAAAAACCTAAAATTTAAGAACAAAATAATGTAAAAAGAAAAAATTTAAATAAAAAAGCAATAGTGACGTAGGCGTTTCTTCTCTACCGTCTCTTTCATTGAAGGTCAATAAAATTGGTGGTGCCCGAGCCCGAGCCCGAGCCCGACCCGAGAGATAGAATATAAAAACATCCCCACCGCCACATCCTTTTTTTTACCTCATTTTCTCAAAATTATCCGTCACCAAAAAGGCCATACCAAAACATTCTTCTTCTTCTCTTCTTTCTGTGCCGGGTGTCGGGTCGGGTCGATGCACCGACAGGATCCGCCGAAAATGAAGCCGAATCGCGGCGCCGTTCGGGTGCTGTGCTTCTTTGCAGGCTGCGTCGTCTTCTTACTGGGTACGACGGCGCTCACGGCGGCTGCTCAGAATGCGACGGCCATGGCGGCGGTGAACGTGGGCGTGGTGATGGATTTTGAGAGTAGGATCGGGAAGATGGGGTTGAGTTGTATCGACATGTCGCTCTCGGAATTTTACGCCGCTAATCCGGACTACAAAACCAGAATTGTTCTTCACACCAGAAACGTCGGCAACGACGACGTCGTCGGAGCGGCGGCTGCAGGTTCCCTTCCTCTCTCTCTCTCTATAATTCATGTTTTTTTTTTCTTGCAGCCAAAAACTAGACCCATTGACTCAGTTAATTATATTATTGTTCGTGAAAAAAAGATATATATATATATATATATATATAAATTTTTACAGTTTCTCTTTTAGAAAAATAGTAGAAATTCAATTTTTTACTGTAGGATCCATTTGACTTCAATTTTCAACTCCATCCATTTGATAATCCTATCACATACGTCGTACACATGTGTCAAATTGTTGCCAAGTTAAAATCATGTGGATTAAATAAGTTAAAATATTATCATCTTATATGTTTATATTATACCTAGTCATGGTACTTTTCTTAAATAAAAATTTAATAAAATGATGAAATTAAAATTTTACAACTTATTCAGATATATATAATTTAAATTTCGACCTTTAATATTTAAATTTAAAGGAAAACAGTTCATTTTTATGAGTAAATAAATAGAATTGAGATTATCTCTTGAACATAATTTTTAGCAGTATTATTCATTAAATACATCACTTTTCAAAATATTTTACAAACGGCCATGTATTTTTATTTCTTTGAAAAAAATATAACAATAAGGAACACATGAAAATCTCCAATTTTTATCCCTTTGTTATAACATCTAATATCTCCTCAAAATTGATCTAAATTTTATTTTTACTAACTCGACTAATAAATTAGTCAAAATCTAACAAATAAAATATATTCTCAAGTCTATCCCATCATGAAAATATTAACAGCCTAATCATATATATAATCAGATAATCAAACAGTGAATTAAAAAAGCCCCAACTGATCAGATGTATTTCACTTTTTCAATAAATGGTCTCTATTTTCTTTGAATTTTAAAAATACCTTTGGGAATCTTATATAAACTTTAAAATAAAAACAGTTTTCAAAATTTATTTTGTTAGAAATTATTTGATAAATTGGACAACAGCCAAAAAAAAAAAAAAAGTCAGAACCGACTAAATCTAACCCAAAAAAAAAAATTAGAAAACAAAATCGACAGAAATATCTCTTTCATTCTAAAGTGATAAACAATCAAACAACCAACTTGACTGAAAATTTCAATAAAATTACAAATAAAGAAAATGTAAACTTGCAAATCTGGTAAACTAATCTATAATAAAATAATGGATCACGTAGGCTGAAACAGTTGACTTTTTTATGGAGCAGCCGTTGACCTGATCAAGAACAAGAAAGTTCAAGCAATCTTGGGGCCGACGAGTTCAATGCAAGCCAACTTCGTGATCGAGCTCGGCCAGAAGGCTCATGTCCCCATCCTCAGCTTCACCGCCACCAGCCCCGCCCTCGCCTCCCTCCGGAGCCCCTACTTCTTCCGCCTCGCCCAAAACGACTCCGTTCAAGTTGCTGCCATCAGTGCCATCGTCAAAACATTCGGCTGGAGGCAGGTAATTATTAAGATCCCACTCCATAATTATTTTATTTTTAATTTTGCAAGAGCTATTTTTTATAGTTTTCAAAAAATAATTTTTATTTTTAAAATTTGATTAACAATTCAAATATGTTTCTAAAATCGTGGTTAACCATCATAATCAAGAAAAAAAAAACAACAGAAGACATAAACTCATTAACTTAAACTACCCAAGTACTTGATGTTTATATTTAATTTTTCTTCATATACTTTTAAAAGCATCAATTTTGTTTATTTTTCTTTTAGTTTTTGCCTATTTTAATTATTGTATTTTTAAAATATTTATTTTGACCTACTTATTTATTATCTTTTTTTTTATTACACTTTCATCACAATAGACTCTCAGTAGGTGAAATAATATAAATTTTTAATGAGTATTTATAAAAATGTTACAACCGTTTTTTTTCCTAATATAGTATAATTGTCGCTTTGTTATTGTATTTTATATATTACATTTCAATTTGAATTATGTTTTTTCAATAAAAGTTCAAACTTTCTACTGTATTTTAAAAATATAAATTTTATTCTTCCGAATAACTGTGCCAGTAATCTTCTTACTAATCAGTAATCATTAATATTTGACATTGTTTTTTCAAGAAAAAAAAAAATCTCTCCTCTCTCGTTTGCTACCACTGAATCCTTCGGTACCGTTAAAACAGGTAGTACCAATCTACGAAGACGACGAGTTCGGAGACGGCATCCTACCGTACTTAATCGACGCGCTACAAGACGTAAACGCGCGCGTGACGTACCGGAGCGTGATAAACCCGGCGGCCACCGGCGACCAGATCGGAGAAGAGCTCTACAAACTAACGACGATGCAGAGCAGAGTGTTCGTGGTGCACATGTTGCCCTCTCTCGCGGCTCGCCTTTTCGCCATCGCCGACAAAATCGGAATGATGTCGGAAGGCTTCGTCTGGATTCTCACCGGCGCCACCGCCAATTTGCTCCAATCCATGGACTCCTCTGTTCTGCACTCCATGGACGGAGCTCTCGGAGTCAAGACCTTCGTCCCCAAATCAATGAAGCTCGACGAATTCACGGTCAGATGGAAGCGCAAATTCCTCTCGCAAAATCCCACCCTCAACGACCCCCAATTGGACGTCTTCGGATTGTGGGCCCACGATGCCGCCAAGGCGCTGGCCATGGCCGTGGAGCGAATCGGGCCCGCGAATTTCACTTACCTAAAAAACCCAAATCTCACGGATCTGCAATCTCTCGGGGTCTCCGAAAACGGGGAGAAATTAAGAGATTTCTTATCGACGACGAAATTCAGGGGACTCGCCGGAGATTTCGGGGTCGCGAACGGGGAGCTGCAGTCGGCGACTTTGGAGGTGGTGAATGTGAATGGGAATTGGGGGAACCGGGTCGGGTTTTGGACGCCGGAAAATGGGTTGACGAAGGATTGGAGTGCGAGTGGGACGAGATCGATAATCTGGCCCGGGGACACGGCGGCGCAGCCGAGGGGGTGGGAGATGCCGACGATGGGTACGCGCCTGAAAATCGGGGTTCCGAGAAAAGACGGGTACAGCGAATTTGTGAGAATCACCAAAAACGGAACGGATGCGGAAGGGTACTGTACGGACGTGTTCGAAGCGGCGCTGGCCGGACTTCCGTACGCCGTTCCGTTTGATTACTTTCCTTTCGACGGCGCCTACGATGAACTCATCATGAAAGTACACGATGGGGTGAGTAGTGAGTAGCGAGTACAACAAAAATCTTTCTTTTAAATTTATTTGAAGGAAATCAAACAAATTACTAGAGTGCTCTGTTTTTATTTCGTGGACAGTTTTTCGACGGCGCCGTAGGTGACATAACGATCGTAGCGAACAGATCTCAGTACGTGGACTTCACATTGCCGTTCACAGAATCTGGAGTTTCAATGGTGGTTCCAACGCAGTCAAATTCGAAGAACAGAGCATGGGTTTTTCTGAAGCCGCTGACTTTAGACCTCTGGATCACCAGCTTCTGCTTCTTCGTGTTCATGGGGTTCGTCGTTTGGATTCTGGAGCACCGAATCAATGAAGATTTCCGTGGCCCTCCCTCCCACCAGATCGGCACCAGCCTCTGGTTCTCCTTCTGCACCATGGTCTTCGCCCAAAGTAAGCAAGCAAAATTGACTGAAAAAAACAAATCTCTAGCTATTTTCATGATCTTTAATTTGTTTGATGGGTTGTTTTAGGGGAGACTTTGATAAGCAATTTGGCGAGGTTCGTGGTGGTGATATGGTTCTTCGTGGTGTTCATTTTGACTCAGAGCTACACGGCGAGCTTGACTTCGCTTCTGACAGTGCAACAGTTGCAGCCGAGCATTACGGATATAAACGAACTGATGAAGAGGCAGCCGTGGGTGGGATATCAGGAGGGTTCCTTCGTGTTGGGGCTGTTGAGATCTGTGGGGTTTAAGAATCTCAGGCCTTATGCTTCCCCTGATGAACTCCACAAGTTTTTCAAACGTGGAAGCTCCAATGGCGGCTTTGATGCTGCTTTTGATGAAATCCCTTACATTAAGCTCTTCCTCTCCAAGTTTCCTGATAAGTACACCATGTCTGACCCCATCTACAAAGCTGATGGATTTGGATTTGTAAGTCCTCTTTTTCCAATCTTAACTTCAGTTATTACTTACTTCTAAAAGAGTATACAAAACCTTTTTTCCCTATTTTTTTTATTTCACTCTTCAAAACTCTACGACGATTATATCACAATTTTATATATAATATGCAGTAAAAAATTGATTTGTTAGTAAAAAAAAACACTTGTTCAAACCCTTAATTTGTTCAAACCTTTAATTTGAGTGATCATCACCTATTTTTAATAATCATTGAAATTCTACCCTAACACAAATACAAAACTTAACAAAAGTGTATAATACATGAGTTTCTTGCCAATTAATTTTGAGGTGGAAGAATTCATATCTTGTAAAGTCGAGCAAGCTCAACAAGCAGCCGATCCAAAATAGAATTTGGATAAAGAACTCCAAACGACAATGCAGAGATTCAAATTTGATATATTTTAAGGATGAATAAATTATCGTTGAACCACCAAAAAACTTATTTATTTATGGACATTTAACGAATTGGGTGGTGGTTTTGATTAACTGTAACGTCGGACAATTTGCAGGCGTTTCCGATGGGGTCACCGCTGGTGGCGGACATATCAAGACAGGTATTAAATGTGACGGAAAGTGAGAAGATGAACCAAATACAGAAGAAATGGCTGGGCGAGAACTGCAACTCGCCGTCCTCCGGCGGGAACGTGGGTTCTTCGCGGCTGAACCTGAGCAGCTTCTGGGGCCTGTTCCTCATCGCGGGCTCCGCCGCCGTGGTGGCGCTGCTCATCTACTTCGCCATCTTCCTTTATAAAGAGCACCACACGCTCCGCCGCACCGCCGCCGACGAAGGCTCCAACTCCCCCGTCTTGAGAAAACTCCGAGCGCTCCTCAGAACCTACGACGGCAGGGACTTGACTTCCCACACCTTCAGAAAGAGTAATAATATTAATGTTGAGGCTCACGCGATGGACGGCGCGTCGCCCAGCTCCAATTGCCCGCCGAGCCCGTCCAATTATTCGGTTCAAGACGCCAGCTTTGAGTTCTTTAATGGGTCCGGGGATTCGAGTCCGATGAACCGGAACCAAACGCCGCCTCTGCACAACCAGGAGGTGGGGTTGGAATTAACTAGTGGAGAAGAAATAACTGAAATTATTGTCAATAATTGATTTAGTTTTTTTTTTTTTTTATGGGAATAGGAAGTTTTTTTTAGGTGTATATTTGTGCATAGATTCTGACCTTGTACACCACAAAATTCCCTTTCTAGTCTATAGATGATTAATTGTATGAAGTAGTTTTTTAAAATGTAAATTAAAAATTTTAAATTTACTCTCAACAAATTAAGTCTCTCTCCTTATCTTAATAGAATTTTGAAGTTCTAATATTTTGTCTCAATAAACCAAAGTTTTTAATTTTATGACGAGTGCATACAAAATAAGTTGTTGAGTTATATTACAAAAGCAAGCATAGTTCAGCGGTAATTGACATATACCTCAAACTGTAAGATTGTGAAGGTCGAAAAATGTTGTATTATTACTTATGAACTTTGTTCAAAATGCCAAAAGTCGAATTGGGTTGTCTTGGAGCTACCGGATGCCCTATGTTATGTAATTGGGCCATATTAAATCAGCGACCCACAGCCAAAGTTGGGCTTTTAAAAAACAACTTTTCTTCTTCATTTTTTTTAAGACTCCGACAACCCATAATATTGAGTCTGATTATTCAACTTTTTGTTCGATAATATGTCTTATATTTAATTTTTAATACAGAGTCCAAATATTCAAAAGTAATTCACATATATTTTTCTTTACAATAGTGCCTGGCTTGAAAAGATGCGAACAATGACCCAATTTTTATATCCCCATGTTTAAAAGAAATAAAATTAATGCATATTTTATCTTTCTTGTTTGTTAGAATTTACATATTTTATCTTTACTACTTTCAATTTTGAACAAAAATTATAGATTACAAAACTCCTAAGTATAAACTTAACTCAACTAATTAAACTATTAGTATAAACACGAATATAACTTAGTAATTTAAAATATTTATTCTTTTGTCAAATCGAGCATAGATCAGATGGTTAAGGCACCTATTTTTGACTGACTAGTTTTGAAATTGTCAAGTTGAAAATATTTAATTACCGAGATTTGATTATGAGTTATTAACTGAGAAAATAAACACAAATTCGCAATTTGGAACTGAAACATCTTAGTAGCCAGAGGAAAAGAAAGCAAAAGCGATTCAAAAGTGTCTTATGCCAACAAAATTTCAATCTCATTTGGAAAAGTCCCTTATTTCGACGAATTTGCTATTGCCACGAAAAAGACCTTTGCCAACGAATCAGATTTCGTCGACATAAACACCTTTCGCGACAAAATTTGATTTCGTTGAAAAAGATGACGACAAAAAAAGCGCCTTTAATTCCCCAACGAAATTAATTTCATCGAAAATTATTCCATCGACAAAAAGAACAATTCTTGTAGTGATCATCAAGGTAATACTATAATCATTGCAAGGCTCGACACAAGACCTCGTATGATACCTCAAAGTTTCAAGTCCTTGTCACTGCATTATCTCCTAAATAATCCAAGTCCTTGAACCTTAACTGACTATTCAACATTTTTTAAAATTCATAAATTTCATCCATATCCTCACCTTTCAAATATATATTAAATATTTAATTTATGAATTTGAAAACAATATCTAATAGGTAAGTACATAAAATTGAAAGTTCAAATATCTGAGGAGGAAGACGACGTAGGGACCTATAAATTAGGAGAGAGAGTTTAGGGATCCGTGTGAGAAAGAGAGTTAATGCGTGAACCTTAGGGTATGTATGTTTATATAGTTTGTGTTGCATGCATGCATGTCTCCTTCTTATGCTCACGCATTCAAATAATGACTTTTACCCCTCCACTTTCCCACTACTATAAAATCCCTCCATACTCCAAACTATCTTCTAACTTCTATTCAATGAACCATTTATCCATTCTATACCACAAAACTCTCTAACCTAACCTAATCATTTCTATTTTCCAAAAATGAAACCGTTATCAAACCCAATTCTTACCCGTCTTCAAAACTAACAACCAATTAGTAGCCCGACTTAATATAAAAATACAAAATTAGTCCTATCTAGAAATCTTAATTTGTAACTTAAAAAACACATTTGGTCCCTGTACTTCTATCAAAGTAACAATTTAGTCCCTAGACTTTAGTTTCTAACGATTTAGTCCTTCTACTTTCACTAAAATAACAATTTAGTCTCTAAACTTTAACTTGTAACGATTTAGCTCGAGTAGATTAAAATTTGTAACAATTTAGTTCCTATCGTAAACAAATTTTTTTTTAAAATTAAGTGTCAAATTTTATCATATAACAATTTAATCTTTCTAGTTATAAACATATTTGGTCAATCTTTAGTTTATCTATCTATATATATAAGATACTTAACAAAAAAAAATTCACGATAAAGATTAAATTGTTACCAACTTTAAATTACAATGACTAAATTGTTACATATTAAAGTTCAAGGACTAAATGGTTACTAATATGAAAATAGAGGGACGAAATCGTTACAAACTAAAGTACAGGGACCAAAAGTGTTTTTTAACCTAATTTGTATTGCGTGATTGTCTCTTAATTATCGTTGAATGCATATTTAAAATCTATAAATTTGTCTTTTTTTTTTATGTGGAGGGAGTTCGGTGATATTTTTGTTAAGATAAGATAAGGTACATAACAAGTGTTTATAATATAAGTGGACTACTACTCTCATTGACAATTGGTTCTGAGATGGAACCCTATGAATAGATATGATATCAAACTCTGGATTATAATATAAGTTGTAATTTTGTGGAAAATAGAGGATTGTTTTTGATGGATTCTTATTGGTGGCAAGTTTGGTATAATGCTTCTGAACATATTTCTAGAAAGAGAAGAAGAAGAAGAAGAGAGAGAAATGGTCCTAGAGTTTTGAGTTTTGGAGGCATCCACGCCGCACCCCCCACTAATAGCGGAAAGTGACCACACAATTTGGGAGCTTTTAAATGGTTTTTTTTTTTTGCTCCATTTCCCCCTTGCTTCTTTAATTTATTCACTTTAATACATCTCCCTTTTCTCTATTTTGTTACTGAATTTCCGTAATGATGGAAATTTTAAACCAATTACAACTTGGATTATTACTGACTTTAACGTCTGTGGGTATCTGTGTTATCAAGTCAGTGTTGAAGTGGACTTAAGTGACTTGTTCTGATCTGTCTCGTTGATGACGTGTTCGAATTAAAGTCCGAATACTTGATTACTATCGAGAACAGTTGCACCCATGCAACTCAATATATATATAAGTAACTCGGTGTTTAAGGTCAAACATTTGAACTCTACCTATTTCATGTTTAGATTATTTTTCTTTTTAAATTTTGGTATTAAGAAATAAGAACCGTTTATTGTTTTGATATCATATTTTCACCTAATGTTAGAGATATTTACTATAATTTAATATTTAATAGATAATGTACACGTTATACAATTGTTAAGGGTTTTGGAGCTGCAGTAGAGAGAAGGGAAAACACGTATGTGTGATTTCTTTCAAAGCAACACATATTTTGTACCAATATATTCTCTTTTGTAATTTTCTTCCTTTTACTTTTATTATTATTTAATCCTTGTATACCTTATAAAATATACAACACAATCTTAAAGATTTGATATTAAAAAGATAAAATGAGAATCCAAAAAAAATTCAAATGAGTATTCGATCTAAAAATTGGATCCCGCCCAAAAGAACCGCTGTTTTTTAGGAGATGTCAAGATTATACGTTGAAAAGATAAAAGAACTAAACAAAAGTTTATAATATGTGGACTACCCTTCTCATTACTAATTAATTTTGTATTGATATACAAAATATTTTGTTATTTATTTCATTTTATTTTAATATAATTTCTTGACATTTTCTTAATTAGTTCAACCTGATCAAAACTTTGAAATGATAATACATGTTGTTTAAGGATCAAATTGATTTAATTTTTTCAATTTAATTCTTCTAAATTAATAATTTATCTAACATTTTGAACTTGATTACTCTAGCTATATATTTAGATATTTTTACTATCACTTAAAAAAAGTTTAAATACTTTCTTATAGTTTTAGCTTCCATTTATTTTAGGATTTATTTTAGTTTCTTGATAAGATCCGTTTGAGTTGTTATACTTTTAAAATATTTATTTTTTATTTTCATATTTTTAAAAGTGACTATTCTGATCTCTTGATTTTTTTATTTTTTTTTCTGATTACAATTTCAACACAAYACTATAATTAATAAATTTCTTGAAATATAATAAGAACCTCAGTATTAAAGAGAAATACAAACTTCTAATAAGTATAAATATCACATATAAATATTTTAAAAGTTTAAAAAATAAAATAAACAAAAGATTAAAAATACGAAAAAAAAAAAGAGTTATTAATTATTATGTTGTGTTTGTTGATATGACTTGCATTTATAAGCCCTTTTTTTCCTTTAAAGGAAACGCAATGATGAAAAAGAAGATGGAAAAAATAGCAACGGGGAATGGATGGGGGCGGCAGGCTTTTCTATTTCGGCGGAGGGAGAGGAGAGATTGCAGGTGGGGCCCGCTGTGATATCTTGTCGGCATCTCTGGCATCCCACGTGGACTCCGCCACTTGATTACAGCCTTAAATTTGATTCCACGTGGCAGCCATACTCACACTCAGCGTCCCAAAAAAAAAAAAAAAAACCAATTGCCGTTTGATTACGACCCGTCACGTTACGGTCCGTCAGCGGTCCCACCGACTCCCCCTGGCTTGGCCCTTTCAAAGTTTTGGATAACTAACCTTGAAAATTTCATCTCTTTTTCTTATACTCAACACACACTACATTATTATTTCAATTTCAAACCTCCTAAAATTTTTGCTAAATATGCCAAATAGTTTTTATTATTTCGGATAATTCTCCATTTGTCTTTTTAAAAAGTCTCAAATTTTCTTTTACTGTATCAAAAATGTTCAATCGAGTCTTTTTCAAGAAAAAAGGAAAAAAAAATTAATTTGATAAAAAAGGGTAATATTGTTAAATTGTTATAACATTTTTAGTAACATGGAGCCACTTGAAAGAAAATTGAACGAGACTGATATATCAAGCCTTTTATTGATAAATTTTAATGATTTTTAATGGAACGAACTAATTTTAAATTTATTTCATTTTAAAAAAAAATAACCATTTTATTTATTATCTTACTTTTATATTTTAATATATGAATAACATAGTTTCGTTCCACACATATTTATCTCACTCTTAAAATCT